CTTGCCAGGAGCTGCCGACTGGCGGCATCTTGGACCCTAGTTTGTACCAGTTGCCCCAATGGTCGCGGTACCAAGGTGCCTGATCGAATGGATCGTCATCTTCCACTCCTGTCCTCCGAGCAGTCTTCTCATCCCACAACCCACCACGCTCCAAGACAGCAGCCCCCGCTGCTGCGAGGGCTACAGCAGCCCCCGCTGCTGCGAGGGCTTGTTTCTTGGAGCTCGCCTGGCGCCGAGCTAGCGGCCGCGCGGCCGCCTTCGCCGACGCTGCCGTGGGTCGAGCCGCCGCCCCAGCGCGCTTGCTCGAATGAGGTCTGTGGTCCGGTTTCCGAGAAGCCCTCTTCTCGCCGACGCGGCATCGTCCCGTCCTTGTGTCGGGTTTCCTATTCCTCTTCTCGCCGACGCGGCATCGCCCGATCCTTGTGTCGGGCTTCCTAACCTTCATGGCTGGCGATCTCGAACCCAAACGGCACGGCAGAGATCGGGAGCGGGACAAAGAGCTGACACATGGAGCGGGACAGGGACGGGGGGCCCAGGACGGGCAGCAGGACCGACCACGGGACCGGGACCGGGACCAGCACCCCCGTGCCCGGTCCCGGCCCCGGTCCCGGTCCCGGCCCCGGTCCCGTGGTCGGTCCTGCTGCCCGTCCTGGGCCCCCCGTCCCTGTCCCGGTCCCGGTCCCGGCCCCGCTCTTCCCCTGGTCCCGGTCCCGGTCCCGGTGTCGGTCCTGGTCCCTGCAGGACCCCTCCTCCTCCTCCTCCTCTTGCTCGCCCTCCTTCCCAGAGATTGTTTGACATCAGTTTCTCGTGTCCCCCACATAAGATAACCTTTTAGCTAGTCAAACCAAAAAAAATAAGTAACAAACAACCAAAAATGATGGTCAATTTACATGTTCAAAACAACAATCATGTCTTTTATTATATAGTCATACAAAATGATTCATTAAAAAAGGCTGGAAGAGCAAGATGATGGTGAATGTTGCATAAAAACAGGATTTTCAATTTAAAAGCAGCAATGGCTATAGATTATGATGATGATTGATTGATTGTGATGATGATGAAGATGATGCTGATGAATGGTTGATGATGATGATGATGAAGATGATGAAGGGATGAAGATGATGACGATGACCAACGGAGGAGGAGGAGGAGTAGGAGGAGGAGAGACAAGAGAGCAAAATTGAGGAACGAGGAGGAGGAGGAGTAGGAGGAGGAGGAGGAGGAGGGAGGATGAGGAAGGACTGGGGATGAGGAAGGAGTAGAGGATTGGGGAAAGACCACCCGCATACGCGCGCTCGAGCGCGCTTGGGAGAATAGAAAAAGAGAAGAGAGAAAGAGAAGAGATTTATAATAAAGAGAGGAGAGAGAGAGATAGAGAGAGGAGAGAGAACAAAAAAAAGAAAAGAGACAAGAAAGAGATAGAGAGGTAGGGAGAAGAGAAAGAAGAAGAGTATAGAGAGAGAATATAGAGAGACATAAAGAGATAGAGAGAGAGAGAGAGGGAGAGAGAGAGAGAGAAGAGAGAAAAGAGAGAGAAGAGAGGAGAGAGAGAGCGGAGATAGAGAAGAAGAGTAAGAGAGAGAGAGAGGAAGAAGAGAAGAACGAGAAGAGGAAGAGAGGGGCGGGGCAGGGAGGAAGGAAGGAGAAGGAGAGGGAGAGTGATCATAGCCGTTTTGGCTCAGAGGTGCAATATGCCAACGTGGGCACCAGAGTGGCAACATATACCCAAATCTTGGGAAACTACTATTATTGGACGTAGCCTGATGTCGGGGTCATCTCCGACTTTGGAGGAACTCAGGGCGGAGTTGGAGAAACGTGAGAGTCTCATCGCGCAGTTGCGCTCGCAGCTATCTGGCCTTGGTGGAGACAGCCAGCCGCACATGATCGACGTCGGCGACTCGGAGGGCAGCGGCGTCCGCGTGCCCGAGCAGCCGCTCGAGGAGGCCAGCGCCAGCCGCGAGCCCGAGCAACCGCCGACCGTGCCCAGCGTCACCCGTGAACCCGAGCAGCCGCCGACCGTGGAGGGCACCATCCACGAGACCGAGCAGCCGATCGAGGAGGCGACCGTCCGCGAGCCCGAGCAGCCACTCATAGAGGTCAACGACGTCCGCACGCCGCCGCTCGAGGAGGTCACCCCCGTCTGCCAGGCCGACCCCGTCCCCGAGATCGGGCCCTTGTCAGGCGCGCGTGGGTCGCAGAGTGACACGCCCGCGGATGCAGAGACGATCCCAGGGGGCCCGCAGGAGATGAAGTTCGGTGCTCACATCAAGAACTTGAAGGAGAATGGCGCCAAGGAAGATTGGGCAACGTGGGACGACGAGATGGGCGATGCGCTCTTCGCAGACGGAGTTCCACCTGAGCTAGCCTCGCAGCTGGCTGCTACACCATCGGTCGCCGTGGATGGGGCCGCCGCCGCCGCGGATGCGGAGATCAGCAGCACCGACGACGAGGAGATGAAGGCAGCCAAGCGGGTGTCGAGGTTGCTAGCTGAGCAGCCCCGCGACGACGACATAGACAGCGCGGTGAAGGCGTCGCAGGATCAGCAGAAGCTCGACGAGGCGCGTCGCTGCAAGATGGAGGTCGAGCACCTGACGGCGGCCATCATCGCTTCGAAGAAGACGGTCCCGCCCGAGATCTACGCTGACAGGTGCCCCGAGGCTGCGCCGAGTGGCGGGCGCGGCCAGTTGGCGTCGCATGCGGGCGCGGCTGGGCCGAGTGGCTGCCCGCCCAGCGTGCCGGCAACCCCGCAGGGCCAGTCCCAGGAGGCGCAGGACAGCGTTCCTGCTCTTCCTGCTCGTCGCCCTCCCTCTCGGTTTCTTCTTTCTATCCACCCTCTCCTTGCCCAGGGCGACAAGGTGGGCGGCGGCCTCGCGGACGGCGACGCCGCTGGAGGAATGCAGAAGGCCCCCAGTGGGTAAACACCCAACTACCAGGACCACGCAACACCAAATCACATGTGAAATCACACGCGTGGGATTTCACATGGGATTTGGATGTTGCGTGGCCAGGGGGGCATCCCAATAAGATGAGGAGACGAGGAGACTGAGGAAGAGGAGACTGAGGATGACGATGAGGAGGATGATCGAGGAGGAGGAGGAGGAGGAGGAGGAGGAGGAGGGTCGAGGAGGTGGAGGAGGAGAAGGAGGAGGAGGAGGAGGACGACGACGCCACGCCACGCCACTCCCCCGAGGGCTACGGCACCCCCGTGAAGTCCATGCGCCCCGTGGCAGAGAAGGCCCACGCGATGCTGGACAAAGTCAAGGAGCTTGGGATATCGCTGTTCGTCGTCGTCCTCCTCCTCCTCCTCCTCCGCCTTTCTCCTCCTCCTCATCCTGCTCACTCCTTCCCTTCTTCTCGTGCCTCGTCCACCTCCTCGACCCTCCTCCTCCTCTCCTCCTCGATCCTCCTCCTCCTCTCCTCCTCCTCCTTCATCATCATCATCATCATCATCAGCAGCTCAGCAGCAGCAGCAGCATCATCATCATCATCATCAAGCAGCAGCAGCATCATCATCATCGTCCTCCTCCTCCTCATCCCGTCGTCCGTCGTCGCTGCGGCGGCTCGACAGAATGTACTGCAAGGGTGTTGGCCTATATCTTCGGGGTGCGCGCATGGGAGACGCGCGATAAGATGTCGGCCGACACGGACCATGATGCCAAGGTGAAGCTGATCGCTGCCGTGTGGATGGTTCACGTCGACAAGGCGTGATCCCGTCGATCCTCCTCCTCCTCCTCCTCCTCCTCCTCCTCCTCCTATCGTTCTCATGCGCGCCTCCTCATCCCCCTCCTCCACCTCCCCCTCCCCCTCCTCCTCATCGTCCTCGTCCCCCTCCTCGCCCTCCTCCTCCTCCTCCTCCTCCTCCTTCTCCTACACCCCCTCCTCATCCTCATCCTCCTCTTCTGTCTCTCCCTCCTCTCTGCCCAGGCGGAGTCCGTCCACTACAGCGTGGACAAGCTGCACAAGGCCACATTCAACAGGCACCTCCTTGTGCAGAACAAACATATTCTGATCGCCACTCGCAAGCTGGCCAAGTCGATGAGCCAGACGGATGCGAAGGCCGATGTTCCCACTCCTCCTCCGCCTCATCCTCCTCCTCCTCCTCCGCCTCCTCGAGAGGCTGCGTGGAGCATCGTGGCGAAGCAGAAGGAGCACGAGTGGAACTTGGGCAGTAAGAGGGAGGCGTGGATCGAGGACCAAGCCTGGCAGATGCGCGCCATGCTGAAACACGTGAGGCTATCGCTGCGCGGAGACAAGCCCAAGAAGTGGGCCGTGACCACGTTCGGCGACGGCGGTGCGACCGAGTACGGCGACGACGACGACATTGCCGATCACATCGAGGACGGCGACAACGACGAGGAGCCCGACAGCAACGATAGCCAGCAGAGCACGCCAGCCACGCCAGTCAAGGTGACGCAGCCGAAGGAGACAAGGGATCGGGGGTGGAGGACGACACGAGGATGATGGGGGAGCGTGGGGGGGGGGGAATCAGGAGGAGGAGGAGGAGGAGACGAGCGTAGGGAGGAGGAGGAGAAGGAGGAGGAGGAGGAGGAGGAGGAGGAGGAGGAGGATGTGGAGGAGGATGGCACAGACGAGGACGAGCAGGAGGAAGAGGAGGAGGGAGATTCGCGAGGAGGAGGAGGAGGATGAGCAGGGATAGTCATACTAGTCCGTGTCCTTGCCCTTTGCCCCCTGGAGGAGAAGCGTCAACCTGCTGGCCAGCGCTTCGAGGCACTCGCCGTGCGGGACGGCTGGACGCTGGGCTACGATGCGGAGATGGAGGCGACGTCGTCGTCCGATCCATTATCCCCATCCTTCATTTAGATGGTCCCGCCCCTCCCACCTCCGTCCAGGTCCAGGATGCCTGTAGACCCCCAATGCCCCCCCCCCCGATGGTAGACCCCCACCCTGCTTCAGAAATCGAGTTCACTCCACGCCCCCCCTAGATCGGCTGGGGCCAATGGATGACTACGATGTCGTCGACAGGCGGCGTGGCGCTACAGGACGGACGGCAAGAAGCTGCCGCAGTTCCAGAAGGTCAAGGCCGTTGGCGAGGAGCTCATTGCAACATGGGCAGACGAGTACTCGTTCACGGTGCCTGGCGTGACGGCGCCGATTGGCGGCCGCAAGTCTGTCGGCAATGGCATCCTCGGGCGCTGGACGCACCGCGGCAAGGACGGCGGCGAGGTGAAGCTCGTGTACGTGAAGCACATCAACAGGGGCGAGTGGTACCAGATCACCCACGGTTCCAAGCAGATCCTCGAGCTGAAGGCCTACGCGCCAGAGTTTGATGCGAGGGCGAAGGAGGAGGCGCTGAAGTGGGCGGCCGCCTACGCGAGCTTGGAGAAAGACGTCGCCGACATCAAGTTGCTGAAGATTGAATTCCTGAAAGTGTACGGGTCCGAGAACTGCCAGGTTCGGAGACATGCCGTGACTGCTGCAAAGGACCTTGGTGACACCGAGCCGCCAGCGCAGACGCCCGTGACGACGGGCAAAGCCAAAGGCAAAGCGAAGGGCAAAGCCAAGGCCAAGTCCGTGCTCAAGAGGCCAGCAGCTGCGAAGCGTCCCCCGATGAAGCGCAGGAAGAAGAAATCGTCTGACGACGAGTCGGATGACGAGGACGAGGATGCCGAGGATGACGAGCTCGACTCAGAGGGCGAGCTCGACTCCGATGACGAGGAGGACGATGACGAAGGTGAGCCTGAAGACGCAGCTGGCCAAGACGAGGACCCTGCCGAGCCCACGGATGTCGCCGACAAGAAGCCAGCGGTGGCCACATCCGCAAAGGCTGCCGCGAGCAAGAGGCCAGCAGCTGCGACACTCGACAAGCCATCGTCCAAGCAGCGGAAGGCGGAGCAACATTCGCAGGATGAGGAGGATCCGCCTGTGGACGAGGCCAAGAAGATGCCCGAGGCCAAGACGACGTCCGAGGGCAATGACCTGCACCGCGTGCCGAAGTCCAAGGGCGCCAGCGAGCACTCCACGGACTCCCAGAAGGCCGACAAGCGCGGCGTCGCCATTGTCGAGCAGGCCATCATGGAGACCAAGGACGTGCCGCACGACCACAAGAAGGGCCAGTGCCAGTTCTTCGACGAGACTGTCGATGACGATCCCTTCTGAGGAAGGGACCGCGTGCGACTGCGCTGGTACGCACGTCCAGCGTCCCACGGGTCAGGGAAAACCGAAAGCTAATGGAGGTGGGATGAGGAGTACGCGGAGGGTGACATGGGGGAGGAGGAGGGCGAGGAGCGAGACGGGTGGCGAGGATAACGACTTGGATGATAATGATGATGATGATGCTGATGATGATGATGATGATGAGGAAGGTGAGGCGGAGGAGGAGGAGTATGACCAGGTGGGTGGGTGAGGGGTGGACGGGGAGGAAGAGGAGGAGCAGCAGCAGCAGCAGTCGAAGCAGTAACACCCCAGGTGGTTCTGGAACCTGGACTAACGACTTCGGAGAAGCCTGTTGGCATCACATGTGTGTTCCCACGCGTGTGATGTCACACGGGATTTCAGATATCAACATGCCCCCCTGTCTGTTGAGTCGGGATTGCTTGTCTAGCTGCTGGTGTGCCGAGTGAGCTCTGGGTCGCATTGCACCGCTGCCCCCCCCGTTGGAGGCCCTGGTTTGGAAGCCCTAGGTTTGAGACGCAACCGCATTCGAGCCCCATCCCTCGTCGTCCGAATCCCCGATCAATGCGCGACCACCTCAAGGGTCCAGGCGGGGGAGGGCCAATATGGCAACCCACGCCCTCGATGTCTAGTTTGCCTGACACCGCTGCCCCAGGAGCTGCTCCCCAACGGCCGCAACTCGGCCGACCCCAACGAAGTGCTGGTGATGGAGCGGCTGACTGAGATTTTCGACTCGAGTGAGTTCAGAGACATGCTCGGCCAGAAGGGCCACAGTGACCTCGAGACGGAAATGCAATCATTAGCGGGAGATATAGACAAAGATGGGCACCTCAGGGACCCATCCAAGTGGGGCATCAGCATCCTTGCCGACGGCAACAAATCAGATGATAACAAATCCACGGTTGAGCCTGGGGACGACGGTAAATCTATCAAGCGCAGGAAGCCAGGCAAACTTGACATCGAGTCAGAGTTCAAATTCTGGCAGGACATCGCTTCAGGGGGGTGGGATGTGCCAACGGATTCGAAAAAGAGTGCTGTCGCTGGCCGCTGGGAAAGAGCGTGCGAGGAAGACCCATCGTTAAACCAGAAATATGATGCGATATCAGGGGAGAGAGTCCGCAGCAGAAAACAAGAGTTTCGTGCAACGTGGGCTCAACTCGAGTTCAAAAAGGCAGAGGCTGTCACAGGGCAAACATCCTCCTCAGCCCACCCCTCCGTATCCCCGCACCCGCATCTTACTCCTCCTCCTCCTCCTCCTCATCCTCCTCATCCACCTCATCTACCTCATCCCCATCCCCCTCCTCCTCCTCCACCTCCTCCTCCGCCTCCTCCTCCCCCCCTCTTCAATCCTGGAGAGGGGGTGGGGTGATACAGATGTACCACCCATATCATCGCAATCGCGTTACTCCCCCCCTCCTCCCAGGCTGACAAGACCAGGGCAACTACATGCGCGACCCAGGAGTTCCAGAACGGCACCTTCTTGCCGCTGATGCGGATCGCACACCTTGAAGGTGGCGGCAAACTGGGCTTCATCCAGGCCCGACGTTTGAACTGCGGCGCCGCCACACCCCCTCTATCTCTATGCTACCCCCAACGGTACCGTCCCCCAGATATCCCTCCGTCCAGTTCCTCGCTCGAACCACGTTCACATGTGAAATCCCATGCGTGGGATCACGCATGTGATCGGTGCGGTGTGGATACTACCGCATGCGTAGCTGGCCGAGCTTTTGCCGGTGCGGATGGTGGGCGGTGGGCGGGCGGTGTACCGCGCAAGCGTTATAAATGCTATCTCCAGGCCGTGAAGTACTTCTCAAAATGTATGCTATTGGGACCACCATGGATCGTGTTCGACCCCATGACAGAGTGCCTCAAGTCATTATATGTGGTCCGTGTGCGGACCCTAGGCGCGTGAACTGTATCATCAGGCCCACCCTGCGATCGACAGATCGGGTGCGATCGGTCGAGAGCGAGGGGCGTCGCCGTGGAGGACGATGCGGAGGAGGATGGAGAGGTGAGTTAAGAGGATGAGGGTGAGGAGGGCGAGGATGAATCGACGGACGAGGTGGGCGGTCATGCGGAGGAGAGGGAATGGTATGATGATAGTGAAGATGGTGATACGGAGGATGATGCTGAAGATGGGGATAAGGAGGAGGAGGCGGAGGAGGAGGAGGAGGATGAGGGTGGGATGGGAATGATGAGAGATGCTGAGCGATCGCATGTCGACTGAGGGTTTCAACAAGTGCTTCGAGCAGGCCTGGTCCACGCACGTCCGCTGGACGAACGACGAGAACCTTTCCATCGCAGGCCCCATGAAGCACGTGGCCGCCAACGGGGCCGCGGCGAGCAGCGGCGTCGCCATCACCGAGGCGCCAGCAGAGCATGTGATTGAGGGCGCGCCACCTGCCACCAAGAGGGAGCGGACGGCGGCTGATGACGAGCATGGAGAGCCGCAACCGCCTGCAACGAAGGGTCGCAGGAAGAAGACCACCGAGGCGGCCGCGCAGCCTGATCCAGAGAAGAAAGCCAAGATCGCCGCAGCGAAGGCCGCCGCGACGGAGCAGAAGAAGCGGATCACCGCGGCCAAGGACATCGCCGAGCTCTGCAAGGGTGTGATGAGCGATGGGCGGGACGTGATCTACAAGGTGGAGCACAACGTGGACGGCTGGAGGTGGGCCGCCTCGGACACAGACTTCGTCGAGATGAAGCCCGCCGTCGAGACCCTGACTGACAAGGTGCTGAAGAACAAGGGGTTGTCGTCGGCGGTGGACACCGACTGGTTCAAGGCCAAGCCCAGGGTCGGCGACCAGGACTTCACGGCGGCCCTCACCCTCCTCCAGGGCCTCGAGGAAGAGCTGACGGCCGTCAAGGTGCTGCAGACCCGCCTCAAGGGCATGCACGAGCTCAAGATGGGCAGGTCCACCGACAACGAGGAGACGCCCGCCAAGAAGCGGGCCAGGAAGGCGGCTTGATCGCCTCACGCACCGCTTGCAGCGGGCTAGGTGATGAGGATGGAGAGATCTCAGGATGGGGATGATGTGTAGGAGGATGAGGAGGAGACGGGAGGAGGGGGGAGGAGGGAAAGGAGGAGGGGCAGGAGGAGGGGGGAGGTGGCGGGAGATGAGGAGGAGGAGTGGGAGGAGGAGGAGGAGGAGGAGGAGGAGGAGGCGGAGGAGGAGGAGGAGGAGGAGGAGGAGGAGGAGGAGGGAGGAGGGAGGAGGGAGGAGGGAGCAGGAGTAGGAAAAGGAGGAAAAGGAAGAAGAGGAGGGGGGTATGCTCTCTTTTCCGAGCGGCTATCGAGCCACAGGCGTTGCAGCAGAGCATCAGTGCTCGGCCGTGCCAGCGGAGGGGGGAATTGCCCTCGATCACCCAAAAAATCCACTGAAATGGCCCCAAAAGTTCCATGGGATTTCGAGGGAACACACGCCCCAAACACCCGGGGGATTTGGCCCGTTTTGCACCAGTGTTTCCGGAAACTCCCGGGGGATAACGATTTCCCCTGAGAAATCCCATGCGTGGGATTTCACATGGGATTTCCACGCGCTGGTGTTCGTAGGCCATCCGAGCAATTTTAGAGGTCAGGCCGTGTGTTTGCGTGATGTTTCACGTCGCCGACGCGCGGCAGAGCCAGCGCAGGGCACGATTCGCCTGCCGAGGGTACCCGATCGCGTGCATGCAGTGTCAGCGAGAGCGTATGCTGATGTTCTGCGTGCTGTCTTTTACTGCAGCTCGTGGTGGCTCATGGCTGCGGTGCACGTGTCAGTGCGGATGTACGAACTTGACATCATCCTGCGTGCTCAGTTTCGGCCAATATGCGATGTGTCTCGTCCGTGTCTTGCATCGAGCGTCTTGCATCGGTTCTTCCCGCCACCCCGCAGTCGGAGTTACTGGAGTATGAAGCGGTGGTAGGAGGAGGAGGGGAAGGGCGATACTGATGATCGTTCAGGGTGATGAGGAGAAGGCGGTGGATGATGAGGAAGCTGAGGAGACAGAGGTTAAGGGAGAGGATGCTGGTGATGAAGAGAACTGTCCGCTCGGGGCACAGCTCTGATCCGTCTTGCGTGCTCAGTTTTTGTTCCAATTTGTCTGCTTGCACTTATAGGATTTCTCCACTTGTGTGCTTGGTTGAAGAGTTTCTCCACTTGATGGCGAGATACCGACTGTTTATCAAGGCTGTCGCCGCCCGCTGCCCCGCGGCTGACGATCCGCGCGAGGGGTGTTCCGACATGGGCGGGACATGTCTGAGGTCGTTTGGGGATCTGGGATCTGGGGTCTTTGGGAGCTTTTTGGGGGGAGGGGGGGCCCTCGGCGTCCCAGGCTGCCCGCGAGGTGGCCCAGAGGGATCTCGCATGGGGGCCCGACAATGTCTCGGTTGGGCCTTTCAGGGCCCAAGGCTTCTACTGGACCCCCTGGGGACCCAGCTGGGCTCTTAAGGGGTTCGGGGGGGGGTCCCTCTCATCCTCGGGCACCGTTGGAGGTCGCGGATAGCAAGTGCGCCTGTGGCTCGCCGTGGGGTCGGGGTATAGGTCCTTCGCTACCCCTCTTTCGAGCGCGGATTGCGAAGGATCTCATGCCTGGCTGTTATGCTTCGGCTAGCAGTGCCCCGCGGCACGACCGAGAGGGCGCGCCTCTGCTACCAGCAGCTCGCAACCCACTCTGTTCCCGCTAGCCACGCTCCGCGAGCGGGGGGGGGTAGAGGGGGGTCTCTTCAGTCCCTCAGCCACCCGTTCCCCTCAAGGAGGGTGTGGCAGAGGGGCGGACGGGGCCCAGGAGCGCAACCCCTCCCTTTACAGGCATTGCGCCTGAGGGGGTCGCGACGGGCGGTCGAGTCTCGCCTCCCTTTCTTTTTTTTAATCAACGGAGGGGTGCGTTCTGACCAAGATCACTTCGAAGGCGAATCCAGCCGCTGCGATCGACCATGATGTACCCCGAGGCCGAAAAAATCACCCACTCCTCTGGTGGATCTGGGGTGGGGAGGGCCTCGGTGCCCCATTGTCTTGGGCGGTCGTGATCCTTGGGTCCTCGCCCGTTCCCTCTGGTGCCCCAGGGGGCCCCTTGGCCGTTTGTTTGGTTGGCTGGTTGGTTTGGTTGGCTGGTTGGTTGCTTGATTTGATAGGTTGGTTGGTTGGTTGGTTGGTTTGGTTGGCTGGTTTGGTTTTAGTTTATGCCTACTGGTTGACGTGTTTAGTTTATCTTAGTTTATTTACTTTTTTGTTGGTTTGTTGATTTGGGTGGCTGCCCCCCCAGGGCTCTCGCGGGGGCTCTCTGCAGTGCTGGCAGGTTGGTTGGTTGGTTGGCTGGTTGGAGAGTTTCCTGGAGCACTGTTGGCGCATGATCTGGCCATTAGCTGGCCCAAATGTTAGATGAGGTCATCACCTGCCGACCGCGCTAGGTCACGTGGGGCGCGGCGATGGGTTCCCAACACTGGCGATCAGCGTGAGGCTGGTGCCGCCCTGTTCAAACAGCTGCTCGACCTCTACTCGGCGGCCAGACTGACAGCGAAAGACTTGACGCAACTTTGCTATAACATCGATCGGGCTGGAGTTCAGGGCGCACCATTCAGCACATTCGCTGTCGCCCCGTCAAGGCAATCGGGACACCAAGACCACTTAGACAAGGTCCTTCCCGATAGCGGGCGACTCTTTTACGTCGACGCTCCTGTTCAGAAAAAAGGTGGATCTGCTCGCACGTCGTGGCCTGTTCCAGTGAGATCAGTGGTGGAATCACTCGAGTGTGAGGTCAGCCAGGACGTCGGGCTTCGGCGGCGGCTCGACAACCTCGATGGTCCCGAGTCGGTTCTAGACACTGGCGCATACCGCTCCCACCCAGCAGCTGTGGCCGCTGAACGGGATGGCCGCAGGCGCCCCCTCCCACTGGCCGTATACCTGGATTCTGTCACCTTTATCCAGCAGGCCGCAGGCCGCTCAGAATCAGTGCTGGGCATATGGATTGTGAATTTGCTGACCAGACGTCGGCACTTTTATGCTGCTCTCAAGTCAGGCGACATGTGCTCATGTGGCTGTCGAGGGAATTGCACATTATTTCCCATCTTACAATCGTTGCAGTGGCAGCTGCGCGCGCTGCA